TATGTGATATCATGATCCTTTATTTGGTGGCTATAACCTTTATGTGATATCATGATCCTATATTTGGTGGCTATAACCTTTATGCGATATCATGATCCTATATTTGGTGGCTATAACCTTTATGTGATATCATGATTCTATATTTGGTGGTTATAACCTGTATGTGATATTATGATCCTTTATTTGGTTGTTATAACCTGTATGTGATATTATGATCCTTTATTTGGTGGCTATAAACTTTATGTGATATCATGATTCTATGTATGTTGGTTATCACCTTAATCAGATATCACGACTCTACATGAAGTGGTGTTCAACTTAAGGAGATATCATGATTCTATATTTGGTGGTTCGGAAATATGCAATAGATTAATGAGCGAGGCTTAGAAGCGTTCCTGAATTACAATTCGCACTGCATTTGAAACACTGATGTAAACATATCAAACAGGCTATTACATTTGCAGGAAATTTGTACGGGTAAGTTATCAATTTGTAACAGATGCAAATCGATTTATGCATGGATAAACATAAATTATGACATATAATTTTCCAGATTCCAAGAATGAAATCAGGGAAATTGTATATAACTTAATCTCTGTGAAATAGCCAGTGAAATATTTAATAAGATCCATCAGTTAGAAATTACAATATGTATATCGAAGACAGAAGAAAAGAGATGATTGCAAAACCAAATGCAAAGGCTGGGACACAATATCCGACGATGAAGGGACGTCTGAGACGTTTGCTCAAAACACCATTCAGCATCCCGATGAGACAATTCACAACACTCACCAATAAAAGATACAGCACCCAAAAGATAAAGCTGATATTTAGAGGAACAAAAAAATCAAGGAATTGTGTACCAAATTCCGTGAAAAACTTGTCAGCAGTCCAGGAGAAACTGGGAGGAAAGACATTCGATACACGTCTTAAAGAACATCGAAGGGCGTAGAGAAAATTAGCAAAACCCATTTTACCTGGACTACACGCAAAGCATCCGCCATCCAGTACAATAATTCGGCATTAACAAATTACGCTAACGCTCAAAATCACATCGACGATTGGGATAATGCCAATATATAGTTCAAATTAAACACAAACGAGTCAAATCAAAGAAGTAAAATCAGAACAAATGGGGCTAGATCTACACCATACCAGTAACTTATTCGATACAGCAAGTATATACTATACTCTCTATTAATAGGCGGAACGTCCTGGGTCGAGTGACATATGAAATATACAATTTCGTCACATCGTTGTACAGGTAAACAATACAAATTACTCACAGTCATAGATTGACAAAGATACCAGTCGGTCTTGAAACGTTGCGACACGTTTAATATGTACATTGTTTGTGTATAAAGTGAAACTTTGATATCAACGCAGTGAAATATTGACAAACAACATATACCCTCAAATATCCAGTCCAGTGAAATAGCCTTGTATACATCGATGTCATATAATGTCAAATTACCAACGTGGGGAATTTTTTGTATTTCCATCCCAGTGAAATGCTCTATGTTATCACACACATAATATATACATGTATATCTAGCATTCATCTCCCAAATACCTAACCAAGTAAAATACTCTATGTAATAAATGTTAATATAAAATGCCATAAATAGCTTACCACCTCACTCACACTATATACATTGTAGTAACTAAAATGTATAGAACGCTTTACCGTTATATGGTTATGAATAGCACGAACACATTCTACGTCATGCTTCGCGGAAAACAAAACAGGAACTACATTCAATTACAATCAGACAAGTGAGTGACCTGGGTCGTGAAGGTAAATTTCTATTTATTTTATCGTTTTATTTGTTTTAAGTGTACGTATTGTCGAAACATGTACCAAAATATCACTATTTGAATATTTTAAGCTGCTTCAAATCAACAGATAGCCATAAATTCATTCAATTATGCAAATTTGATAACTTAGATCACAAAATATCATGAACGTAGGGTATTCAATCGTTAGATTAGTAGTATCAGTATATGCAAAGATACACGGCTTTAACAGAATTACCATTGCGATTTATGTATCAATGAATAAATCTACCTATTTATCTTCATGTTATATTAGTTGCATTAAATAGAGAACCACTGTTATCCGAACTGTAACTGTTATCAAGTAGGTCAACCTCTGGGTTAATTTGACACAAATGTTTTGATCTATGATCTTACCCGATATCCCATTCCCTTACAGTAAATAATCTGTTGTGTATTTCTGAAGTTAACGTTAAAAGTTGTGTTTTTACTCGTTTTACTTTCGTTTAAGACTGATATCATAAAGATCGATCATGTGTACACATACACTGTGGAAATCCCAACTTGGATTCGTTAGTTACTTACACGCGTGTTAAAAATAGTGTGGTTATTTATAGACGAGGGAATCACCTTGTTGGGGCACTTTGTCTAAATATAGATAGGGCGAATGGACGGCATCGACTAATAAATGGATACATTTGTTTGTGTGTGCCTTGTGAAATTGTGATCTGTTGAAAGTAAAGGTGTTCGTAAATTGAGATATGTGTATGAGAGAATGTTTTGAGGCGTTTTAAACAACAAACTGAGGTATTGTTTTGTTAGAACATTATCTGAGCTCTTACAAACACGCGATCTGTGAAAAGAGATTACAATGCAGCAAAGGTAGGTCAGCAGACGTTTCTGAGTAAAAAGTTACTGTCTGTACTTCTGTGTTTTTATTTCTTACTTTAGTATAATTGTCGGTCGCCTATGAAAAACAAAACGTAGATTGAAGCCTTGATAATACACAGACATCGTCAATTATAATTACACGAACTTACAAACTAGTGTAGTCTATTGTTCACGTTTCAACCTGTAGGTAGGCTAGTTCACATCCCCACAGGTAAATCTTTCCGCAGGGCAGAGTTCGTTGATCGTAGGGAACAATAAAAATTAGTCTAATGAGGGTGAGTCTAATTGGAAAGGGGAGAAGAGGTTTTCAATATGAGAACTTCATGTTCGAGTCGTAATGCCAAACGGTAAAATGGTGAAGCTCAACGGATCAAAGTTCATGCGTAACGGTACCGTCACGCTAAAACGGCCTGGGGAGAACACTGCCCAGGTCATCTGCTCTCCCTTTAATTCTCAATAGCAAAATAATTTATTTGAATAGTTTTTAAAGTTCTTATCCTATGGTGACAAGTAGTGTATATCCCTTTGTTTACATGTTGTTTTCCACATTTTGTACATCTCAACAATGAAATTGGAGCTACTAGTACCTATAATATAACTCAGGTGACCGCTAATGACCTTGGGCCTCTTGTTTTGCAATCTATTAATATACTATATTCCTAATACCATCAATTGTATGTCAATGTAATAGTCATATTATATATTGATAGCAAAGACAATAGCAATACTATTATTATTGTCTAGCATGGCTATACCATGGGAGTGTTTAAGAAGGATACAATTTAAAAGACTGCAAACTATAAATAATTAACATTTTTAAAATAGATATAGATAAATACAATTGGATAATTCCCATTGCATTTTTTAATTTAAACTGTCGACTAATGAAATTCTTTAAGGTAGGTGGCCTCCTATTATTTAATATTTAGTTATAACCTTTCGGTTGTATTTATTCAATTGAAGGATATTTTTAGATGTTGCATTTTGTATGTATCATAACCACAGTTAGCTATAATAGAAAATTAACTTATAGTATTAATCTAGGTGTTGACTATATATTCTGTATATTTTCTTTTGAATTATTTTTCTGCAGTTTCTTACAATCAATATGGCTGACAAAACGGACCCATCTAATGAGGTTCTTCAATATCATACCGACATGGTAACGGAGCTTGGGGGATTGTTTGCAACAAATTCCAGAAAGTGGGGCTCAATTTGCAGTCAATATCAAATGATGGGTCACATCTCAGAAGCCGACATGGGTCATGTAAAAAGCATGTATGATTTATGCAAGTGCTTAAAAGCTAATGGCAAAATCGACTACGGGAAATACGATATTTTAAGTGACGTTCTTGGTAAACAAAATGTGGAAGCAAGTAAAAGAATTAGCTATTACACGAAACTGATCCGTCAGGAAAACGAAGGTAATAGTAAGCCTCTATTAACATCATCACTGATATAAATCAAACAATTACTGGTAAACTGTCTCGTAGGTTTACACCTATATCATCAATGCGATATACAAACCAATCACTGGTAAACTGTCTCTACCCATTGGTTACACCTATATCACCACTGCTACAAATCAAGCAATTACTGGTAAACTGTCTCTATCCAATGTTAACACCTGTATCATCACTGCTATAAATCAATCAATCACTGCTAAACTGTCTCTATCCAATGTTTACACCTATAGCATCACTGCTATAAATCAACCAATTACTGGTAAACTGTCTCCGATGTTTATACATATATCATCACTGCTTTAAATCAAGCAATTTCTGGTAAATTGTCTCTTTCCAATGTTTACATCTATATCATCACTGTTATAAATCAACTTATTACTGGTAAATTGTCTCTTTCCAATGTTTACACCTATATCATCACTGCTATAAATCAACTTATTACTGGTAATCTGTCCCCAATGTTAACACCTATATCATAAATACTATATATATCAACCAATTACTGGTAAACTGTATCTTGTCAATGTTTACACTTATAGTGAAGGTTAAATGGAACCATTCAGTTTCTGAGCGTTAAATATGTTCATATACCACGAAACCAACCCATACTATCCTTTTCTGTCATTCAGGTAGAGAAAATACCGACAGGTCACAGTCTGTGTTCAGTGAGGACAGAAAGAGTAAGTCTATATCACAGTAACATAGGGATTTTAAACAGCTAGGACCTAATATTAGGTGTTAAAAGTAAAGTAACACGTTAAGGCGTTTACAGCAGCTGTTTCCATTGAAAAGGTGAATATTTGTTTTTCTCTTTTAGAAACCTCCTATATCCATGCACAATTATTATTCTCCAATGGACATGATCTCCGTTTCGTCCGATACCACATGCCAATTCGATCAATCAAACTTGTTCGCAGTCATGGAGCCATTTTTCCCAAAAATATCTCTATGACTGCAAACACGTCGAAAACAGATTGTGACTGTGTTTTTGGAGGACACGTAGATAATTTCAATTAAAGGGGAATACAATTTGCGTTTTAAAAGAATCATTATCCATCTTTCAAACGCTACCAAGCATATTTTGTATATCAACTAAAAATATGTTTTTGATGCGAGGAGGCTTGGCACGTGAAGTCAATTATTCAATTAAGTAATCCAAACGTTTTAGTTTAGTTCAGCAATGTTTTGTTAAATAACTGGATTCACAAAAAATATGAATGAAGTCGTATCAATAGCATGCCTGATCTACGTCTGCAGGAAAACAAGGACCGAGGGGTGACCGGGATCCGGTAGTTAACTCCAAGCTTAGAAAGGAGAAACGGAGAAAAGGCGAGCATGATTGTTTTTGTAAATTTTACAATGTACGAAAGGTATGTGTGAGGATAGAACGCCACAGTTTTTATTAAATGGAGAATGCTTCAAATTATTTACTTTAAGTTACTTTATCGGAGACACCGAATGGCCCTTACGATAACAGTTGCACGAAGATTAAGATTATTACACTCTAGTGGTATATTTCGCGTTATTTATCAACAAATGAGGTTTCTAGCATATATATAAGATCTTACTTTAGTATGAATGGCATAACAAGTTATTGAATGAGTTTAATAATTCAGTATATACACACGATTGGTTTGGTTAGGTTTGGTTCTGTATTGTTTAACGTCCTATCAACAGCTATGGTCATTTAGGGACGGCCTCCCTGTGTGCAAGATGCATGCATGTAGTGTATGTATGTGTGTTTTGGAAGGCTGCGATATGTTCGTGTTTGTCTCCTTGTGATAGCGCGGAACTGATGCCGACTTTATAGTGCTATATCACTGAAACATACTGCCGAGACACCCAAGAGGACACCCCACCCGGTCACATTATACTGTCAATAGCGTTAAGCAGAAGTAGAAACTACCATTTTTACAGACTCTGGTATGTCTCAGCCAGGGGACAGAACTCAAAGCTTTCCTCACAGGGGCGAACGCTCAACTAAAGGCCAAAAGTGAGACATTGTCAAGGGAGACATGAGGAAGAAGAAACTTGTTTAGAAAGATGAGAAAAGATAAGCTCGCGAATTTAGTCGCCTCTTACGATTATGCAATGGGGGCAGCAGGTACAATTCTTACGCCCTACCTGCAGGGACATATGGACAAGAACGTAAGATTCTGTTTTACTAAAAATTCGAATATTTTTGTACCACGCAGTGCAAAGAAGTTCCAGATTTTTTTTAAAAATAAATAGTTTTATATCCAATGAATATGACAATGAAAGAAATAACATTTCAAATTCATTAAAATAAAAGTTATTGCATCATGTGGTATTGTGAGTAAATGTATTACCTGTAGTAGGAATATGTTCCCACGGTTTTGACCAATCGTAGCACTTTCAGGTTGTATTACAATGAGAGGAATTAATTAAAGCATCTTCTTCGTTCTTACACATAAATAAAAATATTCAATTTATTAATATCGATATATTGCTAATAGTATAGAACCAACAATATTACAAAATATTTGAAAGAAACATGTAATCAATCCAGTTATTAAACTGTAATGAATAATGATATAGCATAATAAGAGCGGAGCTGCACTATGCACAATATCTGTGACCAGGCTGACGTGCATTGCATGCTAACATGTAGAGCAACGACACATGTTAACATTAGTCTTATTAGTTATATTATCATATTATATGGACGCAGTTCGACCGGCGTCATTTAACCGTTAGAAATTAACATTTTGGTGACGTTAGGCTGTTCCAGGAGTCTCGCGTTTGACGACACGCGCTTAAATATCAAAAATATAAGATAATATCCACATGAACATCAGGAATAACTATAAATGTAGAATGTAAATAAATGTATTGAAGTATACTTAACAATTTTCATGACGGGTTGAACACTGTAAATGACCTGTTCACTACTTATATATAAACTATATACCAACACCTACAAAATGATCAGCAGTAAAATAACTTCTGACATGTTCTCTCTATAGTTGAAGAAGACCGTCCTTATCAGTTTAGAAAACAGATGGACAATACCCATGACGCAAGAATAATTGACGTGTGGACGCGTGCAAGAAACGCTGTTGGACGCATCAGAGGGCCACAATACACCGGAACAGGGATAAGAGTTGGTACCAAGTACATTCTCACTGCCTATCATGTCGCAAAAGACATAACAAGTAAGTTAATAAGAAAGATGATTCTACTCCGATATTTACAGACTTAAATAAACTTCCCTTGTCAAGGCATTGCCTATATATTGGCAACTTATTTTGAGGAATTGCGTTTATAGTTCCTAGATGGCAACGTTTGTAAAGTGAAGTCTTCGCAATGAAAATGTCCTGCAGTTTTCTTTATATTTCTGTTATCAATTAATCAACTTCGAGCTACCATAGCTTTGTACAAAAGCATTGTAACGTGTGCATTTCGTGGAATACTTCTTGAGCTAAGCTTTACAAAAGTGATAATAGTAATAAGACAGTTTAACTTATTGGTATCCTTTCCGTACTATATGTTTCAGTATTATTGGACTTCTATACCTATCGGTTATTTAATTGGAACAAGATAAAAAAAACATTAAATAAGATTTGAAGTGTGCCTTTCAAATCAATGATATTTTCTAACTTCCACTGACAAATTTTGTTTTGTCCATTACTACGCTCCTAAATGTTATAATTTATACTATTTTTTTTATATCTGATCATTTTTGTACGTCTTCTTGTAAAATGCATTATGAATGCAAAGTATAAAATTTACATTAATATTCATGTTTAAATAAATCAATATACCCAAGCACTATCTGTTATGGTATGCTATCTGGAACAGATATTATAATCTGGTGTTAAGACATATAGTGTTCCTGTTAGTTTAAATTTCTTAAGTTTTTAAAATAAATTAGAGACAGAAACAAGTGTTATACATCTGTTACCTTGCATCGTACCCAGCATTAACAGCTATAACTTAGGGATAGTGACGTGAATAGGGATACATTACAGAGGAAGTTAGAAGAGAGTTGGGGGACATGCAGTATAACATATGGTACATGTACAAAATATGTTATATTCAGGAATTCAGTACAAAATTGTCGTGTTAGATATACGTCAATGGAATTATATTTCTTTCCAGAAGAAAACATAGGTGACACTGAAGACTGGTCAAAGCTAGGCTCCAAACATGTCTGGATAGAGTTCCATTTTCCAAAAACAAACGGTGAACAATTTCATTTTAAACCTGAGCGGCCAGTATACGACGAGAAACTTGATTTCGCAATTTTGGAATTGGACTCTGGAGAATCTGAAATCCCTCAACCAATAAGAAAGTTTGGTAAACCAGACTACAAGCAAGTATTTGCATTGCTTGGCCACCCAACAAAACCGAATAGTGAAATAATGCAATTCGATTCTAATATTGAACTTTTTGATCTGGATGCTGATAAGAACAGCAATCGACGTGGTTATATGATCGCAAATGACGAAGTAAAGCCTGGGTATGAGGGAATCTGGGATAAAGGGAAAGTTCTGTTCGATTGTTGGGTCCAGCGCGGAGCGTCTGGGTCACCCGGAATCGTTATGGGAAACAATGACGAAGAACCGATCTGCACTTTGATGTTGGTGAGAGGATTCCCGGTACAGGCATTCTCAGAGGGTGTCAATACCCAACACGAAGAAATGATTGAGCAAGGTGTAACAATGGAGGAGATTGCTAACAAAATCAACAGTCTGGGAAATAGCGCCAAACGTCTGAAGATAGACATATTTGGTGAAAATTTTCCGTAACACTGAATAAAGAATGTGGACTTTCTAGTGCCTTTTTCATTGGGTGTCACGTGACCACAATTTGTGACACCCAAATCAGATCAAAGGTGCACTACGCCAGTAATCATGAGTTGAGGAAGTTTTCGATAACTATGATTTTTGTATTTTTCTTTGAATCAATACGCTATCGTAATTTCACTAACAACTGAAACTGCAAAAAGCATAGTACAGTAAAAAGTTACATAGGAAACATAATCTTTTAGAAATCGTATCATTAATTTTTGATAAATTCCTTTTTTAAATCCCGTTAACAATGAAAAAATGTAGATTTTTTGTATGGGTCCATATTTACATTTGTAAATTTGGACAAAGCATAGTTTGGACTTTAAGTAGAATCGGGATACAAAATTGTAGCTGTACGTACGAGTTTGATGTTCTAGTGGCAGCTATATATGTTGTATCGATGTCATTACGTTTGATTTGTAAATAAAATTCATCTATATATTTTACACCTTCTGCTTAATAATTCAATCCAAACAAGGAACAGAACAAGTCAATTCGAGCCTGGGTTGAACCAATCAATGAAAAGATAATATAAGAAGTATACAATATATAAAGTCTACGTCATGTATACGACTTTTACATGTGTAGTATGACTACAATGTACTTATTTGTTAAATGTTTTAATTATCATCTCATTTTGGAAACCCAGCATACTCAAGTTGTACACACATGACTCTGATCTCTTAGAATGTTTAACACTAAGCAGGCGTGCCATATGATAAATAGCATACAGACCAACCGGTTATGGTATACCAAACAATATTGTTTTAATTTTCAACAAATCCTTTAAAAGATGTTACGACCAACCTAAATATCACCACTTGATAAGTCACATTTAAAAAACGCTTGAGGTATGTAACTTCGATACATTGAAATTTATTTAGAAAAATGTCACTTTGCAATGTTAGCCTATAATAAATCAACAAGGCCAATATCTCAATAACAAGAGGCCCAGGGGGTCTGTATCACTCACTTGGATATCTAAGAAATCATGGCAAAATATTCCCCAAATAAGATCCCAGGAATAGGGCCAGACCCCAATGTTAATCCCTATAGCATATCTGTATTTGATTGTTCATGCCCAGCAATTGTATGTATGGTTATGGGGTAGATATCCCAACTGTTTCCAAGTTGTGATTCAGAAACTGGGTCCCTAGGGTTATGGCCAGACCCCGGGGTCAATTCTAATATCATGACTGCATTTGTCTCTTTATGCCAAGCAATTATATATAAAGTTTTGGGGTGGGGATCTCAACCGTTTCGAAGTTATAACCCAGGGGTTGAGTCTACAAGGGTGGGACAGAACCCAGGCCATCATGGAAGCATTTGTGTGTTCGTCTCTTTATACTCAGCAATTGTATGTATGGTAATAGGGTGGGAATCGCAACTGTTTCCAAGTTGTGACTCGAAGACAAGGTCCCTAGGGGTGTGGCCAGACCCAAGAGTCAAT